ATCATCTGCCCTACCCCTTCTTACCTGTTAAGCCTGCTCACAATTATCCTTAGTTCTTGCTCCCTCTCTTCCTTCATGCTCAGTAAATAGTGGCCTGGCCCTCTCCTCTATATTCTATATGGCCATAACCTCTATATTCTATAGAGGGAGATTTGGCAATATGTCAAAACTTCAAGTGCAGGTGCCCCTGGCTTATCTGTTCCATTGTGAGAGCCTCACACATGCATAAGATTATTTACTACAGCATCATACAGAACAGCAAAAACTTGGAAACAATTTAAATGTCCATTAAAAAAGAACTTTGTTAACTACATTAGGGTATAGTCAGGTGTTAGAAAATATGCAAACATAAATACAAGGCTTGTTGTTTACTTGTTGTTTACTATTCTTGTCATGAAAAGAAGTGTAAGAGCATTCCTTTTCTAAAAAGAAAAGTATGAAAATAGAGGAAGCAGAGTATGCGTTTGCATGTGGCATGTGAGTATGTGTGTGTCTATATGCATTTGATTTGTCTGTATGTGAATGCGAGCATGTGGTGTGGGTATATATAAGAGCATTCCTTTTCTAAAAAGAAAAGTATGAAAATAGAGGAAGCAGAGTATGTGTTTGCATGTGGCATGTGAGTATGTGTGTGTCTATATGTATTTGATTTGTCTGTATGTGAATGCGAGCATGTGGTGTGGGTATATAAATGTGGTGTGTCTGTATGTCTGTGTGCATGCATGTGGTGTGTCCATCTATCCACATGTCACTTGTCCTTACATAAGATAACTCTGGAAGACTACAAAACAAACTGATATGATAGCACAGATCCTGTCTGCTGGCTAGAGGACAGGTGTTATGAGAGCCTTTGTTATACATCCTTATGAACTGATGGATTTTTCAGCAGTTCCTTTCATATACATGAAAACAAATTAATAAACAATAACAAAAACATTAAAATTCTCCTCAGCAGGCCAACTCAGCTCTGAGGAAATATATTCTTCCCTGTACTTGCTCTGTGTTCCAAGTCCACCATTCTGGTTGCTCCACTTCAGAGGTCAGAACTTCTGCCTTCTCAGGTATGGAACAGAGGAAGAAAACAGTATGTCGTAAGGCACTGTGTGTTCTGCCAGAAAATCCTGAAAATTATTTCTAGTTCTCAATCAACTGAGATAATCCTACAGCCTGGACCTGTGGTCTCCTCTAGCTGGACTCTGACAACTGCTCAAACCCACTGGGTGCCCTCCCAGGACCTTAGTGTGAAGGGTCTCAGCCTCCCTTTCAGAGGATCCTTCCGACCAGCATGCTTTTAAAATGCCTCTGCTCTGGGGTCCCACACAGAGGTTTTCTTCTGTCTCTGAAACTTTGTGTTTCATCATCTCAATTCTAGTATTTACTTCTCTTGTCAGTCACTCTACGGTGATCCTGCCTTTCAGAAATAAATTTAATATTATTTCAACCTTGAGTAGCTTGAAATGACTCGGGAATACTATAAAAGGCTAATGAGGAAAACTAAAGCAAACATCTGTATTCACCTACATCTCAGGAAACCAGAACATCCAAACCTCCGAGTCTCACAGACAGGCCACCAGTAACCATCTATACAACTCAAGGAGACAAGTGGCAGGGTGCTGAGTGAAGCCACATGACTGATGGTATGATCAGAACCATGTGTGTTCTGTTCTGTAAAGAACTGACCCTATTTTCATGGAAACACTGAATCTGAGGATAATGGCCCAGTTGCATGAAGAGAGTGTTATGGCTTGAATTTGAAATGCCTCAGCAAGGCTCATGTGTTAAAGGCTTTGTTGATGAGATTTTGGGTGAAGTGACTTGATCTTGGTGGCTATAACAACTTCATCGATGGATAAGTTCATAATTTCAAGGTAAGATTGGGAAGTCATAGGAGGTAGGGTCAGTTTAGAGAAAGTGTGTCAATGGAGACATGCATCTTGCTCCAACCCCTTCCCATTTCTCTCTACTTCTTAGTTGTCATGGCTTGAACAACCTTCTCTGCCACACTGCAGTGAAGCCAGCCTGGATCACTAAATTAATTAATCTGTCTTCTTCAAGTTTATTTTCATTTTCATTTTACACAGCAATGCTAGAGTTTACATGTGAAAGGCCCCCCATAGACTCACATAGTTAAATACCTGGTCTCTATATGGTGGCACCACCTTAGGGGGCTCTGAAATATATAGGAGGTGAATTCTAGCTGGAGGGTTACTTAGGACTGAACCAAACCCTGGTTCTAATGAGAGCTCTCTGTTTGCTGATCTAATGATAAGTAACAAGCCATGCTTCAAGCTCCTACTACTATGGATGGAGTTCCATTCACTTTGCTTTTCTTACCATGACATACAGTATTTCATAAACCGTGAGTCAAAGATAAATAATAAGCCAGATGCAGTGGTGCACACCTTTAATCCTAGCATTCAGAGGCAGAAACAGGTAGATTTTTGAGTTCTATGCTAGTCTGGTCCACAGACTAAGTTCTAGGATGGCCAGGGCAACACAGAGAAACCTTGACTCAAAAGCCAAATAATAATAAAATGATGCTGATAAACAACTGTTCTTCACTTCTTGCTTCCATCAAGGATTTTGTCACAGCAACAAGGAAAGTATTTAACATAGTGACAAACACTAACTGCCTATCTAAAAAAGAAAAACAAAATGTTGCCTTTTTTAAACCACACTCAGTCTTGGGCACAAGCATTCACTGGTAAAAACCCTGCAAGGTAGGAATGGAAGAGGCATTCCCTTTATTCATGCATTCTTAACCAGTAGTGACCTGAGCTAGCAAAATGTCTCACTCAAATATTTCCATCACACGACAACAGTAAGGCAGCTCCTATGGTATTTAGCCAGTGGTGCTCCACATAGCTTCCAACGGAGGCCGAGGTCCGGGGCAGACCAGTAGAGTATGCTCAATTATATGAGGGGAGGAATGCATTTCAGGTCATGTGGCTGCTCACTGCCTCTCACAGGTTTGAACAGCCTACAAAATTCCTCCACATGGAAACCTAATATTTGTACTGGCAACTAGGAAGGGCAGTGATCTGGTAGGATGGAGGCTAGGAGCTTGGGAGATAGGTTGCCTCACGAATGAACAGCCTGCTGAAATGTAAAAACAATCTTACAGAGAAGAAAGCAAGGAAACAGGGAAGTGACTGTTTTTAGTGCACATATCACAGAAGGACAAATTCACCTCCTTCCTGAATCCCCAAGAAGGAACCGAGTTACCTGCCTCCACACTAATTCTGCATTTTCTTCACAAATGAACTGACTCTCATACTCACACACCTGAGTGCCAAGCCCAGTAAGGCCTAAGACTCACAATGACCCTACAACTTTTGCTGGAACTGTTAAGAAAGAATATCTGTAGATGCCGGTCTAGCGCTATGGATAGCCATCTTTGTCATGAAGGGTCAGCCTCACTAAGAATAAGGCAAACAGAGAGTCAAGGACGGCCTTATAAGGGACTTTTAGAGGCATGGTGAGACTGTCTGAATCTAATCATGCTGTGATCTAACCCTAGATTTCTCAAGTTCTGTCTTCTAACAACTCCTTTCTCTCCTCCCACAACACCCCTTTTCTTGCACTAAATGACTTTAAATTGTGTCTCTGACAATTTTACACCCTTCACAGAGCTCACTGAATTCTACCTGAGCCCCTAATGTATGCTCACACACCCTAGAGCACTGATAAAATGACTAACCACGGAAATTTGACTGTTTCCCTACAACAATGAAGAAGCCATCCACATAGATCAGCTTTCAGTCTAGGTGAACTTTGCAGCACGTGAGTGATGTGTCATAGTCTACCTTTCCATTGTCAGTGTGACTAACACTGTCAGTAAGGAATCATAAAAGATAGTTACTACTACATGGCCCACACTAAGCTAAGGGCTACAGGATACACACACAAGTTCTCCTAGTGTGTAGCAAGCACTACCACCATCTTAAAGAAATAAATAAGCAAAAAAGAGTAACTGGAGATTTGGGAGTTAAATTAACCATCAGGATCTCAAAGCTAGGGACTATCCAAGTGTGATTCAAAGCCAGCGATGAGATCCAACAGCTGGCACTCTTAATAGGAGCTCCTATTGCCTTTTGGAAGAGCTAAATAGAATGAAATGAATAGAAACCAAGTGTTTACAAAGTGCTGCAAACCATGATAGTACTCAACATCTGTGATTTAACTGGTCTTTAACAAAGTCATTATTGGTAAGTACTCAACATGTGTAATTTATTCAGTCTTGAACATGTTAATTATACTTTTATAGATAAAGAAATTGAAGTTCATACAAATTATATAATTAATTTGTTGAAGTCCAAAGACTACTGAAGTAGATCAGTCAATAAACAAGCCAAGGTTTCCCTAACTTCAAACTACCTTTTTCCATGTGTCACAATGCAAGGTATGAGATTGTCTAAAGTTAAAACATGCTGTTCCTTGTAAAAAAAGGTGTTCCTGGCCTAAAATTCTCCAAACTCTTTCCAAAATAGACTCTGGCACATTCTAACCAATGATATATGGAGCCTGAAAAACAAAACAAGCAAACATTCTTTCAGAGATGGTCTGCGTGTGGGCTCACCCACATGACCCGTTAAGAGGGGGGAAAAAAAGCACACAAATTTGGGGGATGTGAGCAATGAAACGTGTGTCTGAAACTGTCCCAGACCTGCTGGGGGGATGGCTTCCTTCCTGTTGTTATCACTACCTTAGTTTTCACAAAAGACATCTTATGTCCCCCCATATGTGTCTAATCTCCCCCTTTCGACTGCTTCCCTTTCCATCCCTGTCAGCAGTTTGAGGACAGAGCCCTAAAGCCAAAACTGAGTGGTTTGGGCATTGCTGAAATGTGCAGCGACAGCAAAACCTGATAACTTGGTATTAAACAGATCATTGTGTCTCCAGTACGTGAATATTCCTGGTACCCAGCAGCTGTTGGGACTGGAGTTGACTAGATGGCCCAGGAGCCTAATACAATACAGGCCCCACCCGCACTCACTCACCTCTGCTTTTTTCTGCTTTTCCTCTTGTTCTCTCTGCTCTTTCTCCATACCAACCAGCTTGAGCTTCAGCTCAGACACCTCAGTCATCAGATCCAGCTTCTGGGTCTCCAGAGATGTGCGACTTAGCAGCTCCTATAAGCAAAAATGGATCTCAGCATCATAAGCCACCATGGCCACAAGGCCAGCAGCATTTCCATCCATAGCACATGAGGCAACATCTACACTGTGTCTTATACAGCCTTATACAGGGTGGGGACTACAGCATAGTAGCCATGGGGCTGTTAGGAGAGGTTTGACTGACCCCAGGTCACTTGGGGACAGCACAACCCCTGACATCACCCAGCATGCTTTGAAAGACATTTCCCCCAAAAAACATATTTCTCCATAGAAACCATTATTAATTATTTTCAGAGAAAATGAATGGGCACTTTCAAGGGATGAACATTTCCCGTCTCTGTTTTCAAGGCTAAGCAGCAAGCCCTCTTAATCAGAACAAATGAATATGACTTCATGTTGACAACACAGTTTTAGAAAATAGAAATTTCTAGACCAGATCCTGGGTACAATCAAACATCAGTCTAGTTTTCTACACACATGTCAACATAAGACATCATTACAATAAATCTAGAGAGAAGTCAGAGTATAAAGTGGATTCCTGAGAGATGGCTCTTCCCTGAACTATACCAAAATTATAACCGGCTACTGTGGAATGTAGATAAATTCATTCTCTACTGATTATGAAAAGACCAGGCACATTATTTCTAGTCCTGCTGTCACTAGAACAATGGCTAACAACCAAATACCCCAGCTCCTGGACACCAAGCCTGCCATAAACACACACGCTTCTTAAACATAAAATGGAAACAACAGAGGATATAGGCAAGACGGCTGCTGAAGCATTATTAAGGACCAGAAATTTTTCCAGCAGTACAAAGCAATACATTTTCTCATCAGCAAATGGTATTGTCCTGGTGGCCACAATCCTGACTCATGGTAGACCCTTGACCACACAGGTCCTAGCACTGAGGACTTACAAGGAAATCAGAAGAGAATCTGCAAAGGAAACAACCTCCTGCATGGTCTGAACATTGTGTGTCATCTCAGGCAACCCAACCTTGGCACATCGAATGATGGTCTCTGATTTCATAGGTCTCAAACTGTCCTACATGATGAATCAAACCATAGAAGAGTTTGACTAGGAACAGACGCTTCCCTAAACTCACCCATAAGGCCACTAGTCCCTGATAAATCTGGCTACAAACTAACTGGACTCAGTATCTAGAAGCTCCTCTGAGCCCTGGACCAAGGCAATAGGCTCCTCTTGGTCAGCCAGACTTGAGGCTGGATGACAGGGCAGAACTACAGCATTAGAACCATGGGATACCTAACAGTAAGGAATCAGTGAGATGAGATGTTCAAGATAATGCCAGATTCAGGTTTGTTGACTGCCTCCTTTACAGCAAAGACTGCTGGCTGCTTTTACATACATCTTAACACTCCTCCCCAGGGATTTGGAAGCAAATACTGGTATCTGAATTCTACAGATGAAAAAACAGGCCCAGGGAGAGAAAGCAAATATGCTAGCCAAGGAAATAATGCCAACTATAAGCAAAGTTAGTTTGCAAACTATCACCTATTTGACTTCAGAATTCATTTCTATTGGATGTATCATTCTGCTTTCCAAGCTGGGGTGAAAAGTGTGTGCTGTGAATCAAAGAATTTAAAGAGAAATAACAAAATGTTGAAAAGGGCAGTTAACAAATATTCACTGAGCACAGAAGATGTCCACTTAGACTGGCAGGGTTTCACTGAAGAAATACAACACAGAACTCTGTTGTTGAGGCTGAGCAAGCTATAAGCAGGTCTTCCCTGGGTGGGAGGACACACCAAAATGATGTCTCTTGTCCTTGAGTATATGAAGTTTGTAAGATGTTCTTAATCCTCCCTGCTTATCATTCATTCTCTTCTACACCCTCTTTCCATCTTTTGTGTTGTACTTCATTCTCTTAATCTCTCCATCTTTGCATCTACGTGCCTTGTTCTAAAACTAATTTGAGGCAGTCTTCAAAATATATATTTCCAGTTAAAAATATATCAAGGCTAGCGAAATGGCTCAGTGGATAAAGGACTTGCCATTCAAGTGTGGGGACTTAAGTTCAGATCCCTAGAACCTATGTAGTAGGTAGCTGGGCATAGTAGCAAATGCCTATAATCCCAATGCTACTATGGCAAAATTGGACGCAGACACAAGAGTCCACAAATGCTTGCATATAACCTAATCTGATAACACAAGGACGATACCTATCTCAGAGAAGGTGGAAGGCCAAAAATGACACCTGAAGTTTTCCTATGACCTCTACATATGTGTTGTGCTGTACATGCACACACACAAAAAAAAAAAAAAGCAAATGCCTATAATCCCAATGCTACTATGGCAAAATTGGACGCAGACAGAAGAGTCCACAAATGCTTGCATATAACCTAATCTGATATACACAAGGACGATACCTGTCTCAGAGAAGGTGGAAGGCCAAAAATGACACCTGAAGTTTTCCTATGACCTCTACATATGTGTTGTGCTGTACATGCACACACACAAAAAAAAAAAAACTATAAAAGTTAAAAGCAGGTAAATGAAGACATTGAAGGAATACTTATAGTTAGTAGAAAACTGGTAAGTTACTGCAAACAACTGGGGTGAACCACAATATGTAAATACACAGTTTCCGAGCTGCCTAGCCAAAAGGACAATTCCACAAAGTAAAATTCATAAGGACAATTACTCTGAAGTGCTGAGATCTAAGAAAAAGAGTCTTCCGTAGGACTTCATGGGCTTTTAAACACGTACCAGAGGTCAACACTTAGAACATGACAGTTGAAAGCACAATCCCTGTGGGCTGCTGGACGATCTTAAGATAATAACTATGCACTTTTGTCCAGGGATCAGCATTCCAGACATTGCTTTGTTGAACTTTAAAAGCCTCTCAGTGTATCTAAGTCTTCTCTGCTCTCACCACTGTCAAGTCCCCCTAGTCATTTAAACTCTCAGGTTGTAATTAGTCACACCAATGTTGCAGCTGATGAGGACAGTGCTGTAATTAGTAGCAACAGCCATCCTAATTAGTTACACCAGTGTTTGAATTGGCCATGCTAACATTCCAAGTGGACATTAGGGTTGGACATGCTCAAGTTTTAATTGGAAACCTGAGGTTGTTTAATTGATTACATTTCGATGATAATAAAGCTTTTACTGGCTCCCTAGTGCTTCCACCTCTTTGAAGCCTTTTGTTGATATTCCTGACTTATCCTTGTTGTGAACAATTACCATTCTAGCTCATGAACTCAAAAAAGCCAGCCTTCAAGTCAACACATAACAGAGATCTTTGCACATCTGCGTTTGCTGCAGCATTATTTACAATAGCTATGTCATAGAACCAACATAGATGTCCACTGACTGATGAATGCATAAAGAAAATGTGTACATATACAGAATGAAAATTTCTTTCAGCTATAAAGCTTAAGTGACATAAAACTATATGTCACTTGTAAGAACTGGAAATAATCATATTAAACAATTAAGTAAATCACAGAAATAGACGTTTTGTCTCTCAGTTTGGGACCTCAATTTTACATAGCTACATGAAGTCTTATGTCAAGTACAAGTGAAACTGTGTGGAGGAAAAAAGGGAATTTACAGGGGCAGCAGAGATTGGGAAGGGAAGGGCACCAGATAGGGGGGAGACTCACTGGACTACAGCATATACTTGTATAAAAAGTTTTTCAAAAACTCATTAGATCATAAAGAGAAACATGAAAATGAAAGTTGGTGTGAAGATGTCATAATGAGAGCCATTACATACCATTAATATAGACTAATAAAAAAGACCAAAAACCAGAAAAGAGAATTTTAATGCTGATTATTGTTGGGGGAAAAAAAGTCAGCCAGTCTTCAACAAGTTTAAGCCAACCCAGCTCAGTTTCCCTATCTCAAGCCCCAGCAAGGTCCCTGGCCACTATTAGGAACCAGATTCTCTAAAGTGTACAACTCAACAGACATTAACTCTCTTGCAACTGCAATGCTGTCTTCTACATGAACATCAGCTGTATCTGACATGGTATGTTTCCCTCTCCCCAGTCATCCCAGAGGAAGAACACTCTGATCCCACCAACCCAACTTACGGAATATCAATCTCCCATCTCAGGCCTGCCTCCAGACCACTATCTGTTCCCATCAATTGTTCACATTTATCCCAAGGCAGCACTGTTCAGGTACAGCACATTCTCCCAAATACAGAAGCAAGGCAGTTTCCACTCCCCCACCCCCAGGCATTTGTCTTTTGATCAGTGGCTTTTCTACCTACATTAGACGATCTGTGTCCCCTCAGGAACTTCAGCATCCTTGCGAATGACTGTTCCGTCCTGTATCCGCTTGCAGACCTTCTGTTGAGCTTTACACCGACCTCCGCTCCTCAGGGCTTTGCTTCTCAGAGGCAGGGTTACAACTAGGTCCTCATCTGCACCCAGAATGTGTTTGCTTTGTCTCCAAAGTCTTCAACTCTTAAGTTCTCATGTCTGACCTTTTTCAACTATCCCTCTTGCTCCCTCAACCTAGAATTTCTTCTTCTGTGTCTACTGGTTACTTAGTAACTCCCTGTTTTCCTGGTCTATCAACTTTCTTTAGCAATATTTGTCTCCCTGGCCACTCTGTACTTTGAGGTTTGTCATGTCATTTGTATTCATATCCACACTAGAAAAGTCCTTTCCCCAATGACCCCTGCCCCAGACCTGATGGTTTTTGTTTACCTGGGTCCAGGTGGAGCCAAATCTGTTTGTATTTGTTTCCACTCCTAATGACCTGAGCATTGCTACTGAAAGTCATTTAATTGTGCCCATCCAACTCAATACAAACTTATCTGATTACAGTTTATCTGCCAATACTGCCTGGTAAAACTTTACACATCCCTGGCTCGTTCTCTCAGTGCTTGTTCCAAATCTTTCCTATTCTTCCAAGCCTTAGACTCCACAATGTCCTCTTGTCAAATAACCTCTCCTCCTATCTGCTACACAATAAAAACCGACCATCATTCACTGAACTTACATTCTTTTTATTTCAGTTTTCCACTATCAACTCA